GCCCTGCGGCGGGGGTCCGGGGATGAAAACCCTACCCCGACATGGGCCACGGGGATCCCCGTGTGACAACCCTGGCGTTCACCACTTCTTCCATGGGAGGTGAAGCCAAACAATGGGTGTTGGCCGAGGCTAACGCCGCGGGGTTTGACGACATCGCTGAGTGGGCCAAGACATTGACGCTGAAACAATTATTGGCCAAGATCAAGGACCGCTTTCTCGATAAGACGACCGTTGATAAGGCATTTGACCAATTAACGTCGATTGGTCAAAAGCATTGGACGTCGGTCGATGCGTTGTCCTGCGAAGTCGATCGATTGTTGCAGGTTCCAGGATTGAACTTGCAAGACAACCAAGTGTTGTATATCTACTCTCGCGCGTTGCATGAACCCATCCAGGGACACCTGGTTGCCGAATCGAAGTCAGGTAAGTATAATTATAGGCAATTTCGAGACCTCGTTTTGCAAAGGGAGCAAATGACTTCTCAAGTCAAAAACTCCTATGCAGCCGTAGTCAAGTCCGGAGGAGGAGGAGGGAAGGTGTATGACAGAGGGAAACGAATTCTCTGGGTACAAAAATGCCAGGACCACATCCCCATTGTATTCGCTGATGACACGGTGGAAAAGTGGCTGAGAGAAAACGGAAACGAAAACGATAACAACAGTGACTCCGGGAAGGGGGAAGTCACTGCTGCTATGGCCACCAAGGGAGGGCCACCCAAAAATTCAATAAGGAAGAGACCGCGCTCGTTTCCAGTGCACCCTGGCATTGCCGAAGGGAAGCCCTGGTTGAAGATGGGGTTGACCCGTGAGACTTGGCTGGAGTGTATGAAAAATGCGCAATGTCTTAAATGCGGTACTTCGGGACATGTGATCGCATTTAGCCCGTTGATACGGAACCCAAAAACGAGCAGACGGTAGGAGTAGCACCTGCTCCTACAGAGATAAAAGGTAAGAACGAACAGAGAAGTGAGTCGCCAACGAACCCTTCCAACCGTTCTTCTCATATGGCAAAAAATGATTCTTCCTTAGCCCACCATCCAGATCGCCCTGACATTGTCTTATGTTTTGTCTCTCTGGATGACACACTTGATGAGCTAGGTAATGAATTGCTAGCCTTACGTAGCTCATGGGCTCGAAAAGCAAAGTCTAAGGGCGAATTGTTGTTTGCAGATGTGAAAATTGCACGATCACGAGTAGATGCGTTGTTGGACCCCGGATCGACGAGGTTTTACATCTCCGAGAAAGCAATTCGCAAGTTGCATATCGAAATGAAGGTGAAACAATTGTCTCGACCGATCACGTCTATGGTAGCAGACAATAGTACGATCACTGTCTCACAGTATATTGATCATATTAAGTGTCAGTTTATAACTACGGAAGGAAAAAAAATTATGCATGAGTTGTTCTTCCGAGAAGAGAAAATTTTATCTTTTGATCTCATTCTAGGTATGGACTGACACGAGGAAGCCAACCCAAATATGGATTTCAAGGCAAAGTTGTGCAACTTAAGGATGCACAATCTGAAATGAAACCTATGACTCTAGTTTGTCTTTTTGTTATACGAGTTACCCAACTTTTCGATCGATGGTTTCAAGGAAAAAGTTGGAACAGAAAGTTATGATGGTGTAAGTAAAGAAAGTCAGTGAATCTTCTTCTTCCTGCCCTCCCAATATCGAAAGTCTTATTTTTGAGCTTAAGGATCTGTAGACTGAACCCACCGGAATTACTGAACGTGCTATTAAGTACACTATTGAGATCATTCCGGGTAGCAAGATTCCAAAGGGCCATATCTATCGAATATCTCCCAGGGAACTTGAGGAATTAAAGAAACAACCAGTGTACACGGTCCTACGAATACGGGCCATACGTACTCCCGCACGACCATACGTACCGGCCCCTGTCCCCGGTACGGGCCGTACGTACAGATTTTTGGCCCTCCCTACACGGCCTTCCGGAGGAGTGCTGAGGGGGTGGATGGGCAGGGGGGGGGTCGGATGACGGGGGGTACCCCTCCCGCATTCAAAAAAAAAAAAAAAAAAAGTCGCGAGTGTAAAAAAAAATAAAATATTAATTGATTGATTGGTTGGTTGATTGATTGATTGATTAATTGATTGATTGATTGATTGATTGATTGATGATTGATTAATTGACTGGTTGATTGATTGATTGATTTATTTATTGTTTAACTGATTGATTGATTCATTGATTGATTGGTCGATTGATTGATTGATTGATTGATTGATTGATTGATTGATTGATAGATTGATTGATTGATTGATTGATTGATTGATTGATTGATTGATTGATTGATTGATCGATTGATCGTGAAAAAAAAAAAAAAAGAAATAAAGAAAAAAAAATTCATTCAAAAGATTGATTGATTGATTCGCAGTGCGGGGGGTTGCCTTCGCCCCGGAGAAAACACACACACACACACACACACACACACACACACACACATACACACACACACATACACACACATACATACATGTATATATTAACTTTAACAATTAAAATTTAAAGGCATATAAAGTAAATAAATAATAAAAAATAAAAAATAAAATAAGGTAATAGATACTATAAATATACAAGATTATTTTTAAAAAAAAACCTAAAAATTAAAAAAAATCTAAGTTGTTTTTCAAGTAAAAATAAAAATAAAAATAAAGATAAAAATAAATTAATAATAATAAAATAATAATAAAAATAATAAAATAATAGTAATAATATAATAATAATAATTAATAAATTAATAAATTAATAAAAATAATAATAATAATATAAAAAGATAAAAATATTAATAATCAGGGTTACCTGACCGAATGTTCGGGGGCCCCCGGGTTGGCCCCCGAACGTTCGGGCGTTCGGGGTCCCGTTCGGGCCGAACACCTCCAGGTTTGGCCCCCGCCAAAAAACATTTCGGGGCCTAAAAATAATTTGTTTTTTCTGAATTTTGTTTTGTGAGTTCTCTATGATAAAGCCCACACGTCTATCAATTTTCAAGCCATTCTGCTAAGCCAATAAAACATTTGAAATCGTCAAAGATGGGGGTGTCAAAACGTGCTCGCCCACTCACTATTTTTTTTTTTTTTCACTTTTCACTTTTTCTTTTCACTTTATTTCGGGGCCTAAAAACATTTATTATTTTTTGAAATATTTTTAATGAGTTATTGATTATGAAAAGTACATATCTGTAAATTTTCAGGGCATTTTTCAATGCCAAAACATAAATAAAAATCGGCAAAGATGGAGGTGTAAAAAAGGTGCTGGCACACTCACTCATTTTAATTCTCTTTTTATTTTTTCTTATTGTTATCAACTTATCGTAGTGTTTATTTTCTGTATTTGATTTTTAATTCAAATTTGGTAACGAATTTGGATGTAGTGCCCAGGCAAATGTTGTTTAGTTTATTTGTCTCCATAACATATTTGTTTTTCGGAGTTTTTTGAAAACTTTGTGTTTTTTTTTTTTTTTTTATTTTTTTTGGTCCGCGTTCGGCTCGAACGACCGAATGCCTTCCGAAGGGGTCCTGTATGTTCGGGCGTTCGGGTTCGGGCGTTCGGCCCGTCCCGAACGCCGGCAACCCTGTTAATAATAATATTAAATAAAAATAAAATTAAAAAATAATAAAAATTAAAATTAAAATTAAAAATTAAAAAGTTAAAAATAATAAAATAAATAAATAAATATATTAATTATTAATTAAATTAAAATAATATTAATAATAATTAAAAAAAAAAAAAAAAAAAATAATAATAATAATAATAAAAGATATAATAATATTAAAAAACCAAGAAACAATTGAAAATTAAAAAATAATAAACATTAAAAAATCAAAAGAAGTTCTAACCTACCTTTACACCATTGACAAAGACCCCACCGGTTTAACACAGGTATGCCTTAATGGCGGCCACCAAACACAACGTCATATCACCATAGGCATATTCAGCGCACCATTGTCTATACAGGGGTACTTATACCATTAAAAGCAACCACGCATAGCGGTGATAAGTCACACATATATATATACTTTACATATATATGCTTGAAGTTTCTATTAACCACGCTCACCCACGACAAACTGACGCACCATTCCGAAACGACACACTGACACACAAGAAAACAAACGCGCGCACGAGGAAAAACAAACACGATGGAAAACAGACTACCGTCATAGCCAGAACCCCTCCATATACGATGAAAAAACGACCAACTACGATCCAATACTGGTAGGCTATGACCCCGACACTACGTAATAACCTACGAAGCCAAGAATAAGTCACAGGGCGGTGTTCGTCCTACCCTACGCATTAAGGCTACCTCTATCCGGCTAGACGCTACGAAAACGTCACGCATATAGACCTACCCCTCACATACACCCCCCACCTTCCTCTCACCCAAGACTCGACTTTGTTCCTATCTCATCCCTTCCCGATTGCAAAGAATACAAAAAACAGCGCACCACATCGAAACGCCACTACATGCACATAACAAAACAAACACACATACGACACGCTATAATACCGCCATAGCCAGACCGGTCCAAGAACACTATACTACAAGACAAATAACAAAAAAACATCGCGGCCAGGCTGCCAACCTACTAAGACTCCATTCACACGAAGATACTAACCCCTTCATCGCAATACGGGTAAGGATCCCATCTCGATACTGACCCACTTATCCCACCTCTCACATGCTTGATATTAGCGTACCTGCTCCCCATACTCCCACCTGAGCCACACATACTGCTTCCACCACACGCTCATCCGAACACCACAATAACCCCCTTCATACCCCGCAAAATTGCCTACCTTGCGACACACCCATGGCACACATAGCACTACAACCAACTATGCTGTAACCTATACATCCATAAAGCAAAAACACTACGAGTACTCCCCCCTACGCGGACTATACCACCAGCATTCTGGTATACGCGGATTGCGATCTCTCCTCACTTCCTTCTTCCCCTCTGGAGCTTTCCTGCTCACGAACTGATCTTGGTTCCAAGAGGCGGTCTGGCACGTTACCGTGCCACAGGTGCTCTGCTTTGGGCGTTTGTCTGCCGATACTACGCTGCGTCATCACCCTCGTGATATGGCGGCAACTGATTCTACAGCAACACCAGCCATGACTGCTCAGGTACGAACTTGCTAACATATAACCATCTGGTACCTTGGAACCTCTGAACCCCTGCTTACCTACACCCTCACCCACCACCCCATATCCTAACAGGAGCCTATACTAAGCTAACCCCTCTGATGAGCTGATATGGATGCTAGGCGGCGAAAAGCGCGCTTTAGGGCGTGCACCCCCCCTATGGTTGGGCTTATGCCCTCTCCTAATCCCTAACATACTAAACACTAACATGCTAATCATTGCTCCTATGTTAACTATGACCCCTAACCACACACCATGACCACATGTGTAACATACGTAATCCATGGCTGATATATGCTATGCACTAATGGATAATCTTGAGTGATGTCCTATTTCCTACATTTCGTGGGATGGCTGTGTTGCATACACACCCCCCCCCCCGCACACACAAACGCGCGGCCTTTTTTATTTATTTATTGATTGATTGATTGATTGATTGATTGATTGATTGATTGATCGATTGATTAATTGATTAATTGATTGATTAGTACTGGGGGGGTTGTCTCCCCCCCGCGAACACACACACACACACATATACAAACGCTCGCGACCGTTTTTTTTTTGTTTTTTTTTTTATTAATTGATTGATTGATTA